TTCGCCGATTAATCATCTTATTCACTGGAATGGTGTCAGTTGGGAGTAGAATTTGCTCATCATGCATATTTATTAGCGGCTCAGTTTTGATCTCAGTATGATTATTTTCTATTAACGGTTGTTCGGATACTTTCACTGGTTCATTTGTCTCAGTTTTCGTTGCATTTCGCATCAGAGACGATGATGACAAGAATAAATACGGATTGTATTTCTGTTGTCGACGATAGTACCGTCGAGGATAGGCACAAACTTGATCGGAGCGCGTCACATGTAATCGATCAGATGTTTTACGGAACAACGTCGAATTCATTTGACGTATACCTGTTTGGCTATCTATGACATAGGGCATACGACGTCGTCGATCGACAAGCAATGACTAAACGAAAGTAGGTTGTTTTTAGTACAAATTTGTTTCTATATATAAACACACTTTCATGCAGAGATTTCTTTTCCCGCGAGGTCATAACAGACCTTCTGTCTTATGTTTTATGGTCTTTGAATTCTTATCGAACAGTTCGATTTGTTTCTGTTGCATTATCATCGATGAATATAATCCAGAGAAACTACAAACAGAATCCTTATCAGACACAGGGAAAGACCTTGAGATAAAACAATACAACAGATCTCTCGTATCGTTTGATCTCAGCTGAAACTTTCGAGGAAATCTTCGGAAAAGAAAGGAGAACAACTCCAGGTGATTAGCTTAGTTGGCCGTAAATAATATGGATTTCTCACTTGAAAGGAAAAGAAATCCGTCAAGTAAAGATTAAAACTTAAATTGATAAGCTTAATAAACACGCTTATCCAGACAGCACGTGTATTTCAATCATCCATCATTCAGCAAAAGAAAATTGTCTCTTACTTGATTATATTTCGATGCTAATACAACCGATTCATCATAATTCTTGCCCAATATATTACTCATGGAGGGATTTGGAATAATCATCGGTGTTCCTGTTGTTGTTGATGATGATGCTATCATAATCAAATCTGCAATAGAAAACATCAATTAGCAATATATGTATATACGCTTCTTTCATATGCATACAAAACAAGCAAGCAACTTTTGAAATAAATTAGAAATCGAACTAAACAATTTGTAATACATTGGACGGGATATACATAGATATATACACAAATATAGAAATAGACAGATAGATAAAGCAAAGAAGAGAGAAAGAGAAAATAGAAGTTCATCAGTTAAAATACAAATTCATTAGTTATTGTTTTTTTTTCGAAACGGGCGGCAATTTTGAATTGATCTGACCGTAGAAAAACCTGTTCTTATTTACCACCAGAAGAGGCTTTGTTTGTAGCGACAATCACCGTCACAATAACAGCTACAATCACCAAGACTAGCAAGATAATTGTTAGTGTACAAAGAAACTTTCGTCGATTACATCGTTGATAACACCTTCCGGCCTAAATTAGAAAAACAAATTTGGAGAAAATCATCTTAAGAAAATAAACATTGGAAAATAGAACGCTCGAATAACCTTGACATAACTAGAGAAAAGCGAAGTAAACTGAATTACCTCTCCTTCTCCAGTCACATTCATTTCTCTTTTTCATTCATTCACGAAACGCAAACGAACAGACATAGAAAGCATATGCATATCATTCAATCACCATGCAGTACAATTTAGTAACAATAACGACAACAACAACAACGACGACGATGATAGAGAACATACAGCTCCCGATGGCTCTTCGTTAAAATACCGCCGAAGTGTATAACGATTTCTTTCTTGTCGTTGAAGATTATCCATAGTTATCTCAGATGTATATTTGTGCATATTTTCAACTAGAATAATGATTGTTTCGATTTATTCAGGTTGATAAAAACAACAATAATATTTACCAAATTCTTTTGAATAAGATGTCGCATGTGTTCGTAATTGATAAACATCAATTTGTTCGATTTCTTCGCGAAGTGATTGTACATGTTGAATTTGACTAGCAAAGGAAAGAATGAAAGAGAATGTTTGTTTGTTTTGAGTGACTCAACTGCAAATAACGAAGTATTTACCTTAATAATTCAATATATCGATTTGTTTCATTCTCTTCAGCTTCATGATTTTCATATGAGACTTCATCAGCATTGATTGTTGAGTCTTCAAAACCCAAATTAACAACATTGGTGCGATCTTCAAATAAATCATTTTGAAAAATGATGTCAACATATACGTGACATCTTACCTCCACCAGCTAATGGAAAATAGAACAGAAGTATCGAAAATTTACGAAGCAAATCTTCATAATAGCTCAGTGATGCCAAAGTGAAACACAGACATTTTTCAAAGTTGGCCATAGCCAGGTCACTTTTAATTCTAAACGAGACGAGAGAAACAAGTCGAGTTTCGTAAGAACTCCAATACATACGAAGCCGTGACCGATGCGGCTTTTCCTATTAGTTCTCGTTGATAAAAAAAGCTTCGGTTTAGTCGTTCTTTCAGTTTTTGTATCTTATTTCGTAATTTCGTTGTATCACATGATGTACCAATATAATAAACATATTGACGAAATTTCCCTACGTCTTTCATACAATCATGCAATGCCTACAAACAATGACGGTATATTTTTAAGGTAGAGATGAAGAATTCAGGATAGGTTACTTTGAAAATTTCACGATCATCTGGCACATTTGTCGTTGTTGTTGTTGTTCCTGCTGAAGGTTGTCTCGATGTTGGAATTACATCAATGGGTCTCATCGAAACAATGGTTGAATCGACAACACCGCCCGTCGAGGGCATACTTTCTTTTTACGAAATGTCAAATCCTTGTGGCCGACTTATTGTTCGCCGGATTGTTATCTAGTCAGAAACTGAAGAACGTTTTGATATACGGAAAAGAAAAAAGGAAAGGAAATCGATGAAGAACAGACAAATATTGTATGTCGCTAAATCCTATAATTGATTCTTCGACGAATGTAGCGCTCTACTTCGTTCTTATCTATGCCATGAAGATTTACTCAAAACTTTGCTCGAAAATGATTGAAAAAGACGAGAAAATTTTCAAAAATGAACTTGATTTTCTTTATAGATGTCGCTCGATGGCGATTCGCCTGTAATAAAGTCGTTAGCGAGCGAGCTCGTGTGGCTTTGATCTTCATTTATTATTATCACGCATTAGATCGATTACGATATTGCCTTCATGAAAGATATTATCCAGAATTAGCAATGAGAAAAACCACAGACATCGATGACATTGATAGAGAATATTTCTTTTTAATGATTGAATAATTTATTTTCTTTTATTAATTAGCAATTTAATCGATAATTGAGCCTAAAACGATGAACAAATTCTGTTTTTGCTGATCAAAACAATTATGGCAAGTAGCTTTTTTTAATCAATAAATATATATATATATGCATTTACATAAATAGATAGAAATTTATCTATATCTGAGAAATAAAACAGAACAGAATTCAGCTAAGACGTTGTTGGCGTTACATTCGTCTCATTGTTTGTGTTGTAGTTCGAATTACTCGCTGTTGAATTGAATCGAGATCGATTTGCTGCTATCGGAGTTGCCATTTGAGAACGCTTCCGTTGGACGGATAGAGTTGATTCAATCGAACTAAAACGTCGAAAAGCTTCGTTGATTAGTTTCAATGATTGTAATCGAGTCGGATTCGATATTGCTTGGTAGGAATCGTGTCCTTTAGGAGATTGAATATCACTCGATATTGAACTAGTGCGATTCAAATCTTGTGGAATTGTAATTTTCGGACGCGGATGATCACTATTTGGCACATCTACATAGAAAAATCAACATTACAATGCAAAACAAAGTCATTTTTTTCTAGAAAACTACGTCACAATAGCGGAAAGATGTGTGAATCGCTAGAGGTTTGATAGCACCTCTAAACATAAAGAATGGTAAACCTACTTCTGAGTAATCATTTAACGCAGTCAACTAGTTCATCTGATCATTGGTGAATGAGTGAATTACCTTGTTGTATATTGGAATCTCGTGATGAATTTCCTGCTGTGGCTGCTGCTTCGGATAGAATGGTTTTCATTCGAATACTATTGACATGGGGTGTTTCTTTAGCATTCATCATTTTTTCCGTATTTGTTTTATGTAATACATCCAATTCTTCACGTAGTTCTCGAGTTTCATCACGTAATCGTTGAACAGTTTCCGTTAACTATTAAAATTGAATGCAAAACGAGAAGTCAGTCATCACATCTGTACACAAAGAAATTGATTCTACTTGTTGCTTCTCGTCGAGTTCATTTTCTAACAGAGCGTTCTGTTCCAAGGCTCGATTAAGTCTTGTTTCAAACGTTGATAAACTATCCAGCAATGTCCGTTTACCTAGAAAAGAAAAGAGAAGGCTGAAAAAAAGACAACTTCTTTTCTTCCAATCTTTCGTTACTTCGTTCCAGATCGTCATTAGTTTGTTCTAATTCTCGAATGTAATGCGTCAGCTTTTCGTTTAAATTTTTACACGCATTTAGCTCCTCCTGAATTTGATCGAAACGTTTGTCGAATTGTTTTATTGTTTGTTCCGTCCGTTCACGGTATTGTTCGTTTTGTGTACGCTCAACAAACAGATCTTGTTGATAACGATGTGTCTGATTGTCTAATTGTTTCAATTGCACTTCTAATTCTTGTTCATAATTCAACGACGATTGTTGATACTCGTCAAATTCGTTCTCTAAATGTTCGAAACGTGTTCGATATTCGACATATCGTTCATAGGCTTCTTCGAATGTTGTGGGTTCATTTTCGTCTGACATGATCAGTCGTTTTCGAAATCTAAAAACATCTATTCGGTGAACGAAACAAAATAAATCGAAAAATATCCATTTTGGTTTGCTGTTTTTAGTGAAAAATCATGAAGAGAAGAATAAATTAAATATTACGGTAATATCTCTAATGACACAACAAGAAGCCACGAGACAAAGAACAACAAAGACACAGGTTGACAGTTCTGATATAGAAAAAAATGCGAGATGTAGAGAAGAAAAATAGAGCGACTTTGATATTGCTAATGGGACATGTCCGATTTGACCATTGTTGGTGGTTTGATTCGAAAACAGTGGATCCCTAGTGCGTCACATAATTCTTGACATACTTTGATATTATATCGAAGTAAATCACCGAGACTGTAAATCTAAACGAAGCAAAGAAAAAAAGAAACTCGAATGAATAAGATGTGATAATCTTCATCAAACCGTATTCTTAATCTCGGTTAACCTTGACCAATACATGGTCCTCGATGCTATTTGAACTACATCAATCAATCAAAAGAAATCGTCTTTTTCTTTTTCTTTTTTTCTTTTCTCTCTTGCATGAAGAGCAGTTGTCGAAATGCATCGCTAACATCGTTCATCATCATCATTTGCAACTTACAAGAAATAACCAAAGAAATTTATGCTCAGAAATATAACAGCCAAAATATTGATTCACACAGAACGCTATAGGACCGTAGTAAGCTGAATCCCAAGCGTACAGAGAACTTTTTGACATATGCGCGACCTAGAACGAGATTAGCAAATATAAACTTGAAATGAACAGTTGATTGATTTACAATGATTCGATTTGTTATTTTGGAAAAACCAATTCCGTAACATAATAAATGCAAGGCGGTGTGTTCTTCAAGTGAATTTGAGATAGTGTGATTAGAAGCAATAAATGCAAGAAATATGAGAAAACCAATTGGCCAAACGGGGAAAATTATACTTGTTTCCTTTGTTTGAAAAGAAATGAGATATTGCGAGAGAGCATGTGTGAGAAAAGTAGAATGGATACGTACAGCGATAGTGGAGTAATGTCGGCCGCAACCGCCTTTTGAGATGGTGTGGATATTATTCATTGCATTGCATAAACCAGAAATAATCATGGCTAATGCAGCCAAAACACGTAGTTCGATATGTATGATCGGGACCTGATACCAATTGAAGAAATTTAGAGAAGAAAACGAACTCTTTCAATTACAAACCGATTTCGTCCACACCGGAGGCCAAATGGCTGTTACCATACAAATGAACAGAAAGAAAAACTGAGCTTCTGTACAGTCAAAACTAAATGATAAATACAAAAGAATGGATTGAGAAAAGAAAGTGAAGATAACTGAGAATCTACCTAGCAAACCGAAGTTTTCCAGTCACATAAGTTTGCCAATGCGCACAATAGAAAATAATATACGAAAACATACAACACCAAAACATTAACCATGGATAAACACCCAGTTGAATCGTACAGCAAAAAGCTATCGTAACAAAGGCTAATGAAGAGAAAAAAAAGATATAGCTAACTAGAGCGATAAGCCTAATTCAATTTACCCGTTGAAACTGAATCACATCCATGATCGAACAGTTCACCCAAAGGTGTTGACGAATCTGTTCGACGTGCTTGTTTACCATCAATTGCGTCCAGCGATTGATAAATAAAGGTACCGAGTCCTGTCAGGAAATACATCCATCGTGTACACTGTATTGAAGGTGAGCATTTGCGTATATTCGAATGAAGACAAATAGTTCTACCTGTTCTTTGGCACCGTCTGTTAAAATCATCAGACAAATGCTTGCGCCAATATTGACTGCTAAGCCAACGATTGTAATCAGGTTTGGTGCGACCCACAACGGACAGTATTCGACTAACCACCTCCAAAAGATTTGCATGTATGGATCGAGTAGTGTTGTACCTTCCGATGCATATTTATGTTCTTTTAGACGTGTAATCTGAAGATCTGTTAGAATGTTTGGCCAACGTCGAACGAGTCTCCGAATACATGATCCTGAATGTTGAAAATTTTGCGTCATTTGTCTCGTATTACCATGAAATGAAGACGACAGATTACTATCGGTGGTTCGTTTACTAGACATACTCATGAAATATCTAAAATGATAGAAAGAAAATAAAAAAAAAAGAAATAGTAGTCGTTTCGGTCGAATGACTCAACTTATTATCTATGTTCGATCAAAGCAAAAGAAACATCTATGTGTAAATGCAACTCTACACACATGAACTGTGTGCAATTTTAATAGACGCAATGAATCAGGACGTATTTGAAAATATTAATAACAAATTAATAAAGATGACATGCACACGTTGAAGGAAATATGAAAACTGTCTTACTCGTCAGACGCAAAACACTTGACACACAAAACAAACGTTTGCACACGCATTCAGCTTTCGTCATCTTTTCATTCAATACAAAACGAACGGATATCCGACATTGTCTATTAATCACATAAAGCTTTTTTCGATGGGAAAGCAAGGCATATGATATTCATGACACATTCAATATATCTCAACCGTTACTTAGAACAGGGGAACATGAAAAGCAAACAAACAAGCGGATACCCCATTTTATTTAAACGTTCAAAAAATCTGTTGAAGAAGCAACAGACGAGATATTCATTCTCTGTCGCATTCGTGCTGGTAGACTTTGGTAGAAATCATCCAGTGAATAAATTCGCGACCAATCAAGTAGAATTGGTGTGTAGCCACATATAGACCGATTGAGTAAATCGACCATATTTTGTATAATTCCAAATGAGAATGGACTACGAGTGGCTGATCGAAGATATTTATAACGCCAGAAGTTCATTTTTTCATTTGTGGTATAGCCACATGCAATCTGTGTAATGAAAACTGTTATAGAAAAATATCAACAACAAAAGTTGACAATACCTGGTAAAGAACAGTTAAGCACAGTCCACTAATCCAAGTTATATGCAAGAACGCAAGTCCAGTGAAAAAAAGAACAGCTGGCGTACAAGCGTAGGCAGTTGAAAGCCCTTGCAAAATCGATTCCGATGAAAACAAATGGCAATGATCTCGGTAGTCTAAATATTATGAAAATTTCAATTCACAAATCCAAAACTAATGCTAAAAACTTACATAAGTATGCACCATAGAGATACAAAGCAAGACATATGGGTGTAAAAAAGAGAAACCCAGTAAAATACCGCAGATTTTTCTCGCCAACACAATTATCGATCCACTAAAAAATGTTATAATAAAATTTTTACTCAAATTGTTTTTGTAAGGTTTCAGCACTTGACGCACCCTCAAGATTGATTAAACGGATTCGATCAAGATGAGACACGCCTTCTACTTATGAATGCATATACTTACTGGACAATGATGATCAAATTTGGATACACATCTTTGACATTCTTTGCAATGTTTTGATCGAAGTGGCCGACGTATCAGACATGCCGTGCAAAAATTACTGTAATCAAAGAGATTTTGTTCGACTAGTTGACAAATAGTCTTGAAAAAAAAAGAAATTCACAGTTTTAGATTCTTATTTTCCAATTATTTCATACTCGATTCACTTGATCTCGATTACCATGAATAAAACCCGGATCACACTTTTCAGCAAGATAGTAATTACTCCACGAAAGATAAGTGCAGATAACTATTGGAAATATTGTAAATGGGATTAAATGTACGTCTAAACAACAAGACAAATGATCTAACTGAGGTGAACATGAATGTGTGAAGTTTACATGGCAGCAAATAGTAGAAATAACAAACATATAGCCAGAAGATTGATGCTTGTGCGATAGATATTGGTAAATATTGATCGACTTTGTTATCGAAGAAGATCCTGAAAAATCAGCCGTCGTAGACACGAGGGATTTTTCGATAAGATGAGTTTACTTACATGATATATCCGTTGGCCGCAAGAAATAAAGCGAGGCATAGGACACCTTTATAAATCAATGAAATATTCCATTGAAATATAAATGCAATGAAGAAAATAAGTAAATACGGCGAAAGTTTCGTTCCTAAGCGTCGGCTTGATTTACTGAATCGCAAATATTTCGGTAAATTGGAATTGGACGGTTGATTTTCTGTTAGCAAATATGTTAAAAAACGAGATTCTGGCTGTCGACTTGCAACATCGTATGCAGTTTCATTCTAAAATGAAAAACCAATGTTTCTAGTTACGAGATAGAAGAAAAGCATGATCCATACATCAGTATTTCGGATATCGATATGAGCACCGGATTGCAGTAGAATTCGAATTGCTTCTCTATTTGTTGCAATAATTGCATAATGAAGAGGAGTACATTTATTCATTGGATTTTGATAATTAACTTGAGCACCAAGTCTAGGATTTCCATAATTATACGTTTTTTTTTTCAATAAAAAATGTTTCAGTTTACCGAATTAGTAACTGCGTCGGATCACGAGATCTGGTTCTGCTAACAGAATGCATTAATGGTGTCATACCGTGTTTATCAAGTAGATCTATATCTTCTCCTTTGGCAATTAGATAGGCAACAATTTCCGTATGACCAAACATGCTCGCAAGATGTAGAGCCGAATAACCTTATTTCGAAAAACAAACATTTCCACGATTGTTTGTTTTGTGTGAACAATTTACCTTCGCCATCGAAGAGTGATGGTTGTGCTTGTTGAGACAAAAGAAAAACCACCATTTCGAGTACACCATCGCGGATAGCCCAATGTAACGGTGTTGAATTCAGTTCACCACCAATAGCATTCACGTCTGCTCGTTTGCTAATAAGATATTTCGCTATTTCAACATGATTGTTAACTGCTGCCCAGTGAAGCAATGTTATGTTTCCATTTACTGGTGTTGACGCGAGAGAAGGGTAAGGTTCAATTAATTCCACTACACGATCATAATATCCATATTGAACGGCTCTAATGATAATCAAATAGGTGAAAGGTGATTTTCAATGAATAACTTACGAAACAAGATCGGTTGATCGAGCATCAGGAGGTGCTGGTTGATTGTTAACTGCCATGGACGGTTCAACAGGATAAGGTGGTGGTTTGTGAACTCCACCATTCCCTAAATTAGGCTAAAAATACCGAAAAAACAACAAACAGATATATACAAATCCAAATGAACGCATTTTACTTCTGTCAATTTCATTTTAACCGAAAAGATGTTGTTATTTTAACATGGCTTTTTCTTGTTCTTACAGTGTTTCGAAGGAAACGCATCGAGAATATAACGGAGAAAAAAAAATTGTTCGGCATCATAATTTTTTACGAGACTCATGAATCATTTGCAATAATAGCAACGAGCGAATCAATAAGGATTTCATTTGCCTTTCGATTTCAAGTACAAAAAAACTACATTCAACAGTTCTTTTTTCTTGATCGTCTTCGATTCCTTTGAAATAAATGAAAAAACGACGTCAACCGTACGCATACGATGAGATGATGTTGTAGATTAAATGCAAAGGAGATTTCTTATTCGATGCGTAAATTATTTCTAAGTAACGAAAGAGGACGCTGGTTTATTAACGGCAATTGGTTCAATAGATGGCTACTCATATGTAAAATCAACCTTGAGCAAAAAACTTCGTCTAGATACATCGATTATTCATTTAATCATTCATTTTCTTTTCTGACAATTGAAAGAAGTAGATCAAATAATTAGAAAATCAGTTGTGAGCTTTCGAGCAATTCTACTCAATATGTCTTTTTCTTGCGGAGAAGCAAGGACTGCACGCATACATCACTTCGCACTTGAAAGTTTTGTAGAGTTTTTCATCTTGAGTATCGAGTAAGTTCATTTTTATGTAAGACAAGACGTCATTTGTTTTCTTTTCTCGTGCTTACACTTCGATACTTTCGTTTCTCCGGATTAATGACTGGAAAATAGATTAACAACGATCGTTCCAGGAAAAAAAACTGACAAAATCGTTTATCCATCATCGAATCTGAGAGAAATCTTTTATTTTGAGTTTATGAAGACAATGAAATGATACTCAATCGATGAATTCTATGTTATCACGTAGACTGCTTTCGATTGATTGATTAGCATTTAAATAATAGAAGAAAATATGCAAATGTCTCCTAAATATTATGAACTATATTCACTAGACAATTCAATCGAATTATACATTCATGAAATCGTGTGAAAGATTATGATTTTCAACGCTAATTTCTCGACTGCATTCGTTAAAATACTCTGTAACAATAGAATACCGGACAAAAATAACATTAGCTCGCTTGTCTAGATTTCTTATCAAAACAATTACTTCACGTCGGTAACAAATCGAGAGTGTATGTCGCTTGATTCTCGAACAAAAGCAAAAGAACTTTGAATACATTTTCAAAATATGTTAATATTCATCGAATAACATCGCATGTGAACTGTATTCAATTCCATTCGACAATAGAAACCCTATGTCATACACATTTTCATATTCATTAGACATTTCAACTACATAAACAAGTTCGAAATGAATGTAAGCATTACCATGTTGAAATCGAATATTACATTTCGAATTTGAATAAGAAACAAGTCAAGTATTCGAACAGCTATTCTCATGTGTACATGTCAGTAAAGAAACAGATATCATCTTCGAACTGTTTCGGATATATTTGAAATCATGCAGATTATCGAAGTAATCAATCATGTTTCTTCTCTTGGAAATCTCATGAGCTAACGAAATCATTCTACTTTTCTTTTATCCGCTTGCCGAAGAAACTAATTAATTAGTTCGTACACTTGATCAATACTAAATAAGTTCTATTTGGCAGATTATGTTCTTGAATAGTCAAACAAACCATAGTCATTCACGCAATACTTTACACGACATATGTGTTACAGAAGAAAGACCAGATGGACTTCCATTGCAGCCTATTACCTTGACCTGTCAACGAGCGAAGAGGAGAGGAAAAAAATGAGCCGCAAAAGAGATCATTATGTATTAATTAATATTCTTAGGGTAAATGAATCTTGAATATTTGATGTGTTCATATCAATAAAAGGTTTCGCCAGAGAGAAAATAAAATAATTACAAATATTTGATCTTTCCATCTTCTTTGATGGTTGATGAACCACAAAAATCTTATCTTTCCTTATGTCGGTTGTATTTCGATCATA